GAAGTTTCCTCATGCTTCAGCTATAATATTTACTGAGTTATTCTCTTCTCTTTAGCCTCTAAATGTTGTAGATGACTTCCCCAGCCTTATGGCTTTAAATATCATCTATATGGATGAAACCTGAATTAAATCTCCAGCCCAGATATCTTTTCTGAACACCAGACTTACATTCCATATAATCAGCACCCAGAAGAACTAGTTGTGTCCCTTATCAAGCATGAGCCCATCAGGTGTAACCATTATCCTGACGATTGTTTCTATGTGTAAATTCCTTCCTGGCATTTGTTGGGAAATTTATATATTTTTTCTGAATTTCAAATACTGAGAAAAATAGTTGAGAAATCAGCAAAATGGAAAAAGTATTATAATTCTACTATAAGAATTAAAGCTTAACAATAGACACAGAAGCGTGACTGGCTTAAAGAAATCTACTAATGTCAAGTGAAAAGCAAGAACAGGAAATGCTGGCACACTGAGTCAAAAGTATTGAAATTCTAAATATCAACACAGGAGTACATGTTGATCGGATCAGTTGATTTTGCTTATTGTAAGTGTATCTTTGTAGCCCTGTATGCTGCTAATAGCAAGTCATTCTTGCAAATTATATATTAAGTCTATATGCATAGTATACAATATACAAACCCTGTGAGTGTCCTTTCAAGATATAACAAGTTTGAGAAGCGAAATAAACCCTTAAACTGGCAATTTTGACATTTGATTTTGTATAGTTCTGTTACCTTGCTAAGAGATCCAAATGTTTTAATTCAAATACTACCCAATAAGGTTTGCTGGTGTTTTCCAATGTTTGAGTATCTTCTATAGTAATGTTACTGGCATTTGCTAATACTTCTAAACTTGTTATTTCTTATTTTAAAAAGTTGTATATCCATAATAATGAGCAAAGAGCATGAAAGTCTGAAGTGTTTTATGAATAACATTTAATTTATGAAATTCTTGGGAATTCCAACTCTTATTCCTGATTTCCATAGTTTAATATGATAGAAATTTGGAAATACTACCAATAGCAATGACGGATGAAATATTAAAGACTTCTAACACCACAGATTAGTTTTGCCTATTTTTATATATGACATAAATGGAATCATGCACTATATACATAGATGTGTCTGGCTTTCACTCAGCATTAAACCTGTGACCTCATCCAGATTGAGTTGTTGAGTATAATATACTTGTCATTCTTGTATAGTATTCCACTTTATGAATATGTCACAGATATTTTTATTGAAGTATAGTTGATTTACAATGTTGTATTAATTTCTTTGTCACAGATTTTTAATCCATTTTGATGGACATTAGGGTAGTATCAAGTCTACTAAAATTAGCTCTGCTATGAACATTCATTTTATGCCTTTGGTAGACAAAAGTACTGATTCATGTTTGGAAATATACTCAGGACTAGAGATGCTAGGCTATATGATACATGTATGTCCGGCACTAGTAGATACCACCAAACAACTTCCCAAAACCTTTGTACAAATTTACATTCCTATCAGCAATGAACTTTAGTTATCCTAGTGGGTGTGGAGTAATATTCTCTGGACTGCAATTTGCATTTCCCTGCTGACTAATGTAATTGATCACTTTATGTGGGTGATTGGAAAACCCTGTTTTATAAGGTGACTGTTCAACACTTTGGCCTTTTTTTTTCTATTGAGGTTTCTGACTACTACTTATAGACTTGTAGGGGATATCAATAATTATGGATTTGAGTAATTTGTCATGTATATGCAATGCAAATATTTTCTCCCACTCTATGGCTTGCCTTTTCACCATTATCTTTTGATAAAGAGAATCTCTTAATTTTTAACATATTCCAAGTCATCCTCTTTTACCTTTGTGGCTAGTGCTATTCTATGTCCTGTTTAAGTAATTTATATCTCTTCTAATATCATAAAGATATTCTCTTATGTTTTCTTCTAAAAGCTTTATTGTTTTACCTTTCACCTTTTCACATTTAGATTTGTAACCCATCTGGAATTTATTTTTGTGTATGAGAGAGATAAAGCAACCCCCACCTCTGTGTGTGTGTGTGTGTGTGTGTGTGTGTGTACTTTCTGCTATGCCCCATTAGTCTATTTTTCTATCTTTGCAACAATAATACATATTGCTTTAAAGTATACCAAAGCTTTAACACTTTAAAATAAGTCTTCTTATCTGGTATTGGATTTGATTTGATTGTAAACTCTGATTGTAAACTCTCCAGCTTTGTCTTTTTCAAGATTGTCTTAGCTATTTTTGGCACTCTTATATTTCTATTTAAACTTTCGAATCAGTGTTGTTTTCTTTGTATTTATCCTGCCTGGTGTTTACCAATTTCTTGAATCTTTGGATTGATAACTTTCATCAGTTTTAAGAATGACTGGCCTTTAGCCACTTAATGATTGCTTTTGCTCATTTCTCTTTCTGTTTTTCTTCTACAAAATTACACATGACACTATATTTTTCTGTGTCCCACATATTCATTTACTCTTTTCTGTATTTTTGTCTCTCTGTACTTCAGTTTTGCCATTTTCTATTTAACTATTTTTAAGATCTCTAATCCTGTCTTCTACTTATTAAATCCACCCTTTGAATTCTGAATTTTTGATATTGTACTTTTCCATAACTAATTTCTAATTTATTCTCCTTTATAGATTCCAATTTTCTGTTGAAATTCCCTATCTTTTATCTATTTTATTCATCTTTTCCCTTTTTTCTTGAACATATTAACCATAGTTTTTAAAAGTCCTTATCGACAATCTGATATCTGAATCACTTGTAGGTCTGTTTTCATATTCTGGTTTTGGTTTTGGATCTTGGTTTTAGATCACATTATTCTGCCTATTGGTATGCCTAATGATTTTTTATTGAATTCCAGACATTGTGTAATAAAAATATAGAGTTTTCAGATGATGTTGACTTCCACCAGAGAGACTTCATTCTTTCCTTTGTTAGGCAGATAGTGTGGGATAATTATCACCTTAATCCCATAAGGCACTGAGCTGTGTTATGGTTTTTTGTTAAACTTAGTGTGTCCCTGATATTTCCTTATATTTAGGACATAGCTTCTCCAGGATTTTAAATAGATAGCCTAGCATGTCATCTTTTTTATAGCATTGGGATACTGTAGGAAAGCCAGCTCTATTTTCCAAAGGTTTTCATATTAGTTATTATACTTTGTGCAAATTCAAAATTCAGCAATTGTATTGAGAGGGGTATCAGTCAAGAGGCTGAGATCTCTTAGATCTCAAGTACCACCAAGAATGAAGAAGCTACAGGTCACAGATTCATCAGTGAGAGGTTCTACCCTTTCTCCAGAATTTTAGTCTCTTCAATCCTTATTGCTCAACAGTTCTGGGTCTCCTAATTGTTCATGAGGGGAGCATTGTTTATCCACAAACAACTCTATGCTACCCAGAGTGGAAGTAATACTCATCTAACTTGATAGTAAATCCATTAGGACAGAAATGTACAAGTCACCCTTGAGTTCTCTCTTTTTCTAATATTCCACAACTAATTCATTGGAGGATCTCTGGGATTGTCCTTCACAATATATCCAGAATCAAATTACTTCTTACCACTTATGCCACTAGCACTCTTACCTGAGCCATTATCATCTCTCATCTGAAATACTGCAATAACCTCTTAACTGGACTCCCTGCTTCTACCTTTCTCATACTTATATTTTTAACAGAGTATCCATAATGATTCTTTAAAAACCATGAATCAGATAACATAATTATTTTCTTCAGAATATTCCAATCACTCCCCATTTTCCCTCAGAATAAAATTCAAAGCCTTTTAATGTTCTTCAAGACTTAGATCACCTAATCCCCTCTTTGATCTCATATCTGATATATTTTTCTGACTCCCTGGCTGTTCCCTCTAACTTGAGTATTATTTACTCAAATATCTGCCTTGTTAAACCTTTTACCTCATCAAAATTTCTGCCCAAATATCACTTTTTCAAAGAGGCCTATACTGATTACTCTATTTTAAATTTCAATGGCAATGCTCATCTTCCACCTAGACATGACTGACCCCACCTTATTCTGTAGTACTTTTATGTCTTCTCATGGTGCTTCTCATTTTACAACATACTTTATACTTTACTTTTTCATGTAGTGTTTGTTTTCTCTTTTGCCATCACTCTGTCCTCTACAGTGTAAGCTCCATATGGGCAGGTTTTAGTTTTATTCATGGATGCATTCCAAGCTCCTAGAACAGAGCCTGGCCCATGGGAGACAATCTGTAAATATTTGACAATGACTGAAAAAATATGTCACACACAATTATTTGGGTCTTTTCAAATGCACTTTCTACTTCAAAATACAGAGATAAATCTAATTTAGAGATGATCAACACAGACCTTGATATATTGCTCTGATGACTCCCAAATGAAACTTACTCTGAAATTCTTAGTCAGAAACTCACTCTAATTCTATTCAATTTTGATTTTTCTAATTCATTTGAAAATAAGCTATGTATCTGTTCATTTTTCTGCCAGATTTACAGCTACTGGCAAAGGCAGTACTCTCTAAAACTGAGGAAATTTCTAGAGTCTCTTCCCGTCTATCATTTACTGTAGGGAATTAGATAGAACTGTAGTATATGAGGATGCAGGTAGAATAAGCATTTTAAAAATATAAACACATTCTGTTTGAGGGATCTTGCCTTTAGGAAGCTACTATTGTACTTTATATTAGTTCTATCTTAGTTTGTCTTCTGGATAATTTAGGAAACAGATGTTAATATTTCAATATAATGAAAGGCAAATTAGTCTAAAATGGTGAAATAAGGTTTCCTGTCTAGAAGGAAGACTGTTAAAGGTTAAATCTCCTCCTGATCAGTTAGTACTACTCCACCCCACTCCCCTTCCTCACTCACATACCAGCCTGAATTAAAGGTCTCAGCTTTTGAAACTACTAAGGGACAGAATAGGAAATATTCTGTTTCTTTGGGAAAAAGATCAGGCAAACAGAAAGTGAGAAAATACATACAGCTGCCAAACTTCAGTGGGCAGGCATGCACATCCATAGGAAAATCTTCCAAATGCATGGGGCACTCGGCATGAATTGTTAACCTAAAAGAAAGAACAACAGAAAATGAAATTAAGCTAAAATGAATGGTATTAAACATGGAGCTGAGTTCTCGTTCACCAGCAATGGAGTGCTGCTAAGAATAATGGGATTTTATTTGTTTAGGTTCACTGTTATATTTATTTATTTGATTGTGCCAGATCTTAGTTGCAGTAGGTGGGATCCTTAGTTGCAGTTTGTGGGCTCCTTAGTTGTGGCATGTGAACTCTTAGTTGCAGTATGCATGTGGGATCTAGTTCCCTGACCAGGGATTGAACCCGGGCCCCCTGCATTGGGAGCATGGAGTCTTAACCACTGCGCCACCAGGGAAGTCCCTAGAAAGAATATCTTTAACCTGATAATAAACAAGCACAAAAGATGGCTCTGCTGCTTACAGCAACTGCTATAGCCTTGTTTAAGAAGATGGTTCTTCAAGAATACATACACACACTTGTACATGTACACACACACACACACACACACACACACACACACACACACACAGTAGCTGGCCAGAAAAGAATTACAAAGTTTATGGAGGACATCAAAAACATCAGAGGTCAAGTCTGAAGAGCTCATGTTCTCTTAATAGGGAGAACATATTGGAGAGACTGTTCATGGATCCCTCAGTGGAAATCTGGATAGCGTACGACTTGCCATGCCCACATACTCATTCTTCTGCATCAGTCTTTCTAAATAATCAATTCCAAAGTTTCCCCTCTGTTTTCCTGCAGATATTTTTGAGCCTCAACTTTCCTTGGCCTAGAAAGTAGCCTGCTATGTGTAAATGGGACTCACACAGCAAAAATTCAGAATTATTTGACACCTAACTCTGATGAGCTATTTCTAGCTAACCTGTATACCTCCTGGTTATATTGGATTCAATCTCTGCTATCCTCTTGGAGCTTTAGGTGGCCAACTGGCAAGAATCTCCAATCCTGGCTAATTCTTTTTTTTTTTTTTTTGGTGGTACGCGGGCCTCTCACTGTTGTGGCCTCTCATGTTGCAGAGCGCAGACTCTGGACGCGCAGGCTCAGCGGCCATGGCTCACGGGCCTAGCTGCTCCGCGACACGTGGGATCTTCCCTGACAGGGGCACGAACCCGTGTCCCCTGCATCGGCAGGCGGACTCTCAACCACTGCGCCACCAGGGAAGCCCCTGGCTAATTCTTAAACATGATAAATGTGTGACACCTCATAAATGATCAGAGTAGCAGTAGTAGATATTGCTCAAAGCAGGCTGACTAAAGCAAACATGCTCAGGTGTTTATTAGCAAGAACCCTAGGCTGGAAGGCAGAAACCGAGTGTGTGCCCTTCAGCAAATATTTGCCCATATCTTATTTTCCATTTCCTTATCTAAATAGTAACAGGTGAGAAGTAGATGGCAAGTGTCCTTGCAGCTCTAACTAATCCCTTAGATATTTATAAAAATTCCCATGTGTCTTGGACAAAAGCTCTATTCCCAAGTCAGCCTGCAATACCCTACCAATCTACCCTTTATTCTTAAGGCATAAATAGGGGGTTTCATGACTCAAGGAATCTGATATAAGAGAAATGTCTTTCACTGAGAAGCTTGCTCCTGTTTGAGAATTAAAAGATTTCATGAGGGTTTAATAAAGAAAATTGTGTTCCTTCTCTCCACTTATATTAGTATTTCCAAGATTCTGCGTCTTATGAGTAATGCCAAGGGGAAATTACTTTATGTCTACCCAGCTGTCCTAGGGACATGGAAAATAAAACCACAACAAATAGATAATCAAAGCAAGGTGCAAAAGGTATTGATTTCTGCTTAGGAGCAGAACTCATTCATAATAACTTTCCTATCTTCCTTCCCATCCACTTCTTGCCCATCACACCTAAGCATAGAGCAGTGATAAGAAGGCAGATGTTGGTTGGGGTGGGGTACTTCACAAGCCAAATTATGCTATGCTCTTTTCCTTGGTTCTTAAATGCATCCTAATGCTCTCTGAACAACTGCATCATACTGTCTTCTCTTCTTGCCTTCCCTCCTCCTTGTTACAACTTTCAAGACCCTTCAAGCTTTTTCTGCAGCAGAAAGCATCCTGACTACACTCAGGCTAATAGACTCATCACCACAATCTATGCCATAAACAGATCCATCCCCTTCAAAACTTTCCTTCCACCCTCTTTTATTTTATTGTTATTAAATTATTATGATTTTTGTGACAAAAACACTTAACATAAAATCTGCCCACTTAGTAGTAAGTTTTAAGTATTCAACACAGTATTTTTTTTTTTTTTTTTTTTTTTTTTGCAGTACGCGGGCCTCTCACTGTTGTGGCCTCTCCCGTTGCGGAGCACAGGCTCCGGATGCGCAGGCTCAGCGGCCATGGCTCACGGGCCCAGCCGCTCCGCGGCATGTGGGATCTTCCCGGACCGGGGCACGAACCCGTGTTCCCTGCAGGGAACAGTCCGGCAGGCGGACTCTCAACCACTGCACCACCAGGGAAGCCGTCAACACAGTATTTTTAATTGGCTGGAATAGACATTACTCCAAAGAAGATATACAAATGGCCACAGGTATGAAAAGGTGCTCAATATCACTACTCATCAGGGAAATGCAGATCAAAACCATAATGAGGTATCACCTCACATCTGTTAGAATGGCTATTATCAAAAAAGATAAGAGATAACAAGTGTTGGCGAGGATATGGAGAAAAGGGAACCCTAGTGCACTCTTGGTGAGAATATAAATTGGTGCAGCTCCTATGGAAAATAGCATGGAGGCTCCTCAAAAATTAAAAATAGAACTACCATAGGATCCAGCAATCCTACTTCTGGGTATATATATCCAAAGGAATTGAAATCAGGATCTCAAAGACATGTCTGCACTCCCATGTTTATTGCAAAATTATTCACAATAGCAAAGACATGTAAGCAAACTAAGTGTCCATCACTTTAATTTTCCTTAAAAAAGAAGGAAATCCTACCATTTGCAACAACACTGATGAACTTGGAGGACATTATGCTAAGTGAAATAAGCCAGACAAAGACAAATACTGTAGGATTTCACTTATATGTGGAATCTAAAATAGTCAAACTCATAAAGCAGAGAATAGAATGGTGTTTGCCAGGAACTGGAGTGAAAGTGGAGTTATTAGTGAAAGGGTAATACATTTCAGTTATAAAAGATGAAGGAGTCTTAGAGATCTACTGTACAGCAAGTAGTCTTCAGTTAGCTTTTCAAAGAAGGTCCAAGACCCCTCAAAATGTGATAATCAGATCATAGGACCTCAGTCCCAGCCAGGTTTTAACCTGTCTTGATTACTATGCAAAGACCAGAAGTAAAAGGTAATATGGGAAATTCCCTTCTTTGGGGATGAAAGACACAGATGGGAATACAGATGGGAAGGAGGTACTTTTTAGCCCTTCATGCATGCACACACATACCCACACCCTCCTCAGGTACTGCCCTCATTTCACTGTTCACTATGTTTTGTAGCACCCTGGCTCCCTTGTCATCCCATCCTTTGCTTCTCAACAGCTGGTTTTTATTCCATCACAGTAATAAGTTAAAGTTTTATTACTTCCATAGCACCCTAACTTGTATCTCTACTTTTACCCCTTCTCCTTATAGTATTGGGTTGGCCAAAAAGTTCGCTCGTGTTTTTCCATAACATCTTACAAAAAACCTGAACAAACTTTTTGGCCAACCCTATATATTCTCTACAGGATAGCCGTCTAGTATTTCCTCATCTTATACAGAGTAAAAGCCAAAGTCCTTGCTATGGCATACAGGGTCTTACATGATCTTATCTTCTGTTCCTCTCTGGCTTATCTTCTACTATGCCCTCCCTTGCTCACTCTGTTCCAGCCACTCTGGCTTCCTCGCTGCTCTTTCAACATGCCAGTCTCTCTTACATCATAGCCCTTGCACTTGGTATGCTTTCATGCCTCTTTCAAGTCTTTGCTTAACTATCTTGTTTTTTTTTCTTATTATTTTGTAAATGAGGCCTACCCCGACCTCCATTCAGTTTACTATCCGTACTATGGTTAGTAAACTTTACCATGCGCTTTCTTTTCCCATAGTACCTAACTTATAACATGCCATGTAATTATTTTTTTCTATTTATCATCATTTTTTTCTCCTTACTGTAAAGCTATGGATTTTTGTCTTGGATCTTCTTTGATGTGTGCCAGGAGCATAGCACAGTACCTAGCACATTGTAGGTGTTCAATACATATCTGTTGAATCAATTAACTAATGAATGATTTTTCTTTCCTAAAAGCATGTATTTCTGTGGGGACCTTGCAGAGGCGAGGTATAGATCGGGCAATATAGGGTTCAGGTATTCCGAGGGTTCCAGGCAAATAGCATCTTTCTTTCTTTTCTTTTTTTTGATTTTTTTAAGAGAACTTTATTGGAGTATAATTGCTTCACAATACCATGTCAGTTTCTCTTGCACAATAAAGTGATCAGCCATACGCATACACATGTCCCCATATCCCCTCCCTCTTGAGCCTCCCTCCCATCCTCCCTATCCCACCCCTCTAGGTCATCACAAAGCACCAACAGGCAAATAGCATCTTAATATGATTCCTTAATAGCATAATATCTCAACCTATACTTAGTGGTCATCTAGCCTCTTTCCTAGAATTTCAGAACTGAAAGACCCTTATAGAAAGCATCCAGGTTTATCCCATCATACATTTGACATATGATAAAGCAGAAGGGAAGAACATTTCTCAAATAACCCAACAAGTCTGGGATAGAGCTGACTAAAAGTTTTCTAATTGTTTCACTCACCAAATAATTTTTTTTTTTTTTTTTTTTTTTTTTT